TTATTATTTATCTGCAAGTAAATGGCACTAATAACTGACCTATACTACCAATATTGTTTGTTTGAATGTGTTTACATCACACTAACACAGTATAGGTCATATGGTGACGTTCCAGCTTTAACTGATAGAGGAAGACCTCAGGGGTGCCCTTCCGTGCATTATTTCAGGCACAAACAGGCACCAGATTAGAACAACGGACGTTCCGTAAGCTAGCTGCCGGGATTCAAAACCACAGTCGTAAGGGTGCTACGAATATAATCAGGTCAGCAAATGCATGTGCATGCAGTCTGACTGGACACTTTACTGTCAGCTACTCAATTTTGGAACATTAATACTGAAATCCATTTAAACTCAGAGGAATACAAGTCCATTATTCCAATTCAGTGAGAGTAAAGGTTAATCAAGGCTGAAATTTTAACTAGGTAATCAACAGTTTCATCATATACAAAATTTCGAAACATCCCATGTAAATTCTAGAATGAAAGGTATTTTGCTTTGTTTATTTAACACAGATTTCAACACATTTTGGTCCATCAAATGGCTCTCCTGGATAACTTACTAGTAATTACCAGTTTAAAATTTAAACAAGAGGGCCATGATGGCCCTGAAGTCGCTCACCTGTATATAGCCCCCCCCCCCCCCCGGGGCCAATTTTTACCTGAGGGCTTTTATTTGAACAGACTTGGTAGACACCCATAAGAAGATGTTTCATGCTAAACATCTAAGTTCTAGCTCATTGGGTTTTTTAAAAGAAGATTTTTAAGTTTTTACTATACTAAGTTTTTACTATACACATATAGTTAAAAACAATGACACCCCTGGGGCAGGGCCAGTTTTGACCCCCGGGCTTTTATTTGAACAAACTTTGTAGATATTTACTTAAAGATGTTTCATGTATAATAACTAAACTCAAGCTATTTGGGTTTTTTCAAAGAAGATTTTTAAGTTTTTGCTATACACATTTAAGGAAAATCAATGACCCCCGGGGCAGGGCCAGTTTTGACCCCAGGGCTTTTATTTGAACATACTTGGTAGACACCCATTAGAACATGTTTCATGCTAAATATCTTAGCTCTAGCTCTTTGGGTTCTTTAAAAGAAGATTTTTAAGTTTTTACTATACTAAGTTTTTACTATACACATATAGTTAAAAACAATGACACCCCTGGGGCAGGGCCAGTTTTGACCCCCGGGCTTTTATTTGAACAAACTTTGTAGATATTTACTTAAAGATGTTTCATGTATAATATCTAAACTCAAGCTATTTGGGTTTTTTCAAAGAAGATTTTTAAGTTTTTGCTATACACATTTAAGGAAAATCAATGACCCCCGGGGCAGGGCCAGTTTTGACCCCAGGGCTTTTATTTGAACATACTTGGTAGACACCCATTAGAACATGTTTCATGCTAAATATCTTAGCTCTAGCTCTTTGAGTTCTTTAAAAGAAGATTTTTTAAGTTTTTACTATATGCATATAGGGAAAATCAATGACCCCCTGGGACGGGGCCAATTTTGACCCCAGGGCTTTTATTTGAACAAACTTGGTAGACATTCACTAGAAGATGTTTCATGCCAAATATCTAAGCTCTAGCTCTTACAGTTCTTTAAAAGAAGATTTTTTAAGTTTTTACTATATGCATATAGGGAAAATCAATGACCCCCCGGGGCGGGGCCAATTTTGACCCCAGGGCTTTTATTTGAACAAACTTGGTAGACACTCACTAGAAGATATTTCATGTCAAATATCTTAGCTCTACCTCTTTGGGTTCTTTAAAAGAAGATTTTTTAAGTTTTTACTATATGCATATAGGGAAAATCTATGACCCCCTGGGGCAGGGCCAATTTTGACCTCAGGGCTTTTATTTGAACAAACTTGGTAGACACTCATTAGAAGATGTTTCATGCTAAATATCTTAGCTCTAGCTCTTTGGGTTCTTTAAAAGAAGATTTTTTAAGTTTTTACTATATGCATATAGGGAAAATCAATGACCCCCTGGGGCGGGACCAATTTTGACCCCAGGGCTTTTATTTGAACAAACTTGGTAGACATTCACTAGAAGATGTTTCATGCCAAATATCTAAGCTCTAGCTTTTACAGTTCTTTAAAAGAAGATTTTTTAAGTTTTTACTATATGCATATAGGGAAAATCAATGACCCCCCGGGCCGGGGCCAATTTTGACCCAGGGCTTTTTATTGAACAAACTTGGTAGACACTCACTAGAAGATGTTTCATGCCAAATATCTTAGCTCTAGCTCTTTGGGTTCTTTAAAAGAAGATTTTTTAAGTTTTTACTATATGCATATAGGGAAAATCAATGACCCCCTGGGGCGGGGCCAATTTTGACCCTAGGGCTTTTATTTGAACAAACTTGGTAGACACTCATTAGAAGATGTTTCATGCCAAATATCTAAGCTCTAGCTCTTACGGTTCTTTAAAAGAAGATATTTAAAGATTTTTCTTTCGGTTGCCATGGCAACCAGAGTTCTGCATGAAATGGAATTCTTTGAACAATCTTGATAGAGCTTCATACAAAGAGTATTCCTGCCAAGTTTCATTAACATTGGCCTTGTGGTATCATAGAAGATGTCCTTAGAATATTTAAAATGTGGACGGACGACAGACGACGGACGCCATTTGGTTGGCCATCCTAAAAGCTCACCTGCACTTTGTGCAAGGTGAGCTAAAAAGTCTTTACTGGGCAGGAACCAGTTTCCGGACAGAATTCGAGTTTTTTTAATTGTCTATTTTTTAATAATAAACATGCATTAATAAAACTAACATACCAAAAACCTGAGCTCTAACTACGTCCGATAACACAATTAATACTGCCTGGTGACGTAAGCAATGTACAAACTGAAGGGTTTAATTAGGTCATCAAAAGTGTAAATTGTTCACTCTTGCAGAACCAGTTTCCGGACATATATTAAGCTGCTATTCATATCTGTTTTTAACTGATAATTAGTCTACTATAACAAAAAATTTCTTCTCACATATTAGCTTTCTTATATAATTAAGCTGATTTACTGAAGAATGTTTAAGACGATGAAAAATAACGATCACGTGATGGGTCTCGGAATGACTGAAATATGAAACGGATATTTTTGTGTGTACGGCAGCAACGAAGTGCGAAAGTGTAGTAAACCTAGCTAAAGACCGTTTTCCGATACGTTACAGATTTAGCTCTGGTTGCACCCAATGAACTTCGAATGAAGTACATTGTGCATTAATTGCTACCCCAAATTATATCCCGAAATAAAAAAAATATTGCGCATGCGCAGAACAAATTACATGCCCCAAAGGGATATAAGGCTGTTATTAAAACACAGGTAAGATATCCTCATGAAATTTTAATGATGAATCAACTTGGAAGGATGTTTATTTTCTCAAACAATCAAACCAAGCATCTTCATGACATAATTAATACCGATCATCATCGATAAAGCCAAAATTAAGCCGTTATAATACTTGTCCGGAAACTGGTATTGTCCGGAAACTGGTTCCTGCCCAGTACATTTTGCTACATTTATGACAAATAACTTCACACTTAACTCTACTTTTTTTCCCCATGTGACAAGCATCTAACATACTCTAAAATTATAATTTTAACATTATAAAACTCATGTAACTGGGTGATTTGTTTCTGCATATAGGAAACGTGCCTGAATCACAGTATTCTAGAAGATGTAACTTTTAAAGGAAAAATTTGAAGTATTGATTTAAACAGGTTGACTCACCTCCTCCCCTGGTATTACAGTACCAGGAACTGCCCCTCGCATGTTAAAGTTTGCAGCTGTGGCTATATCAGATATGGCCATTAGTTTGCTCTGTATACCTGATACAAGAGCATCTGGAATCTCTTTCACTGTCAAATCTTTTAATGCTTCCTCTCTTTCCTTTTTAAGCCTGTAATTTGATACAAGATATATACTTCAAATAACATTACTTATTATCTCCAATACATGCAAATGCAGGAGTATATTTTACAGAGCATTCCAGATTGTACAATTTGATATTCATTACTTTATTAATCAGACATTGCTTTATTGATCAGAGATTACTTTATTGATAAGACATTACTATATTGATCAGACATTACTCAATTGATCAGACATTACTTAATTGATCACCAATTACTTTACTGATCAGACATTAATTTACTGATCAGACATTACTTTACTGATCAGACATTACTTTATTGATAAGACATTACTTTATTGATAAGACATTACTTTATTGATCAGACATTACTTTATTGATCATACATTACTTTATTGATCATACATTACTTTATTGATAAGACATTACTTTATTGATAAGACATTACTTTATTGATCAGACATTACTTTATTGATAAGACATTACTTTATTGATCAGACATTACTTTATTGATCAGACATTACTTTATTGATCATACATTACTTTATTGATCAGACATTACTTTATTGATCATACATTACTTTATTGATCAGACATTACTTTATTGATCAGACATCACTTTATTGATCAGACATTACTTTATTGATCATACATTACTTTATTGATAAGACATCACTTTATTGATCAGACATTACTTTATTGATCATACATTACTTTATTGATCAGACATTACTTTATTGATCAGACATTACTTTATTGATAAGACATAACTTTATTGATCATACATTACTTTATTGATCAGACATTAACTTACTGATCAGACATTACTTAATTGATCAGATATTACTTAACTGATCAGACATTACTTAACTGATCTGATCAGACATTACTTTACTTATCAGACATTACTTTATTGACCAGACATTACTTTATTGATCAGACATTACTTTGTCAGTCAGACATTACTTTCATGATTAGACATTTCTTAACTCATCAGAAATTACTTTATAAATCAGACATTACTTATTTGATCAGACATTACTTTATTGATAAGATATAACTTTATTGATCATACATTACTTTACTGATCAGACTTTACTTAACTAATCAGACATTACTTTATTGATCAGACATTACTTTATTGATCAGAAATTACTTTATGGATCAGAAATGACTTAATTGGTCAGACATTACTTTACTGATCATAAATTACTTTATTGATCAGAAATTACTTTATGGATCAGACATAACTTTATTGATCAGACATTACTTTATATATCAAGCATTACTTTATTGACCAGACATTACTTTATCAATGATACGTTATTTTTCGGACCAGACATTACTTTATAGATCAGGCATTACTTTATTGATCGGACATTACTTTATTTGATGACAAATTATCTTATTGAACAGATATCACTTGCCTGATCAATATTGCATTGTTGCTACTAATGTAAAGAAAAGTGTCTGGTCCTTTTTAACTGTTAGATATACATGAATATCAAGCAAATTGTTCAACAAAAGAAAAACAGTCCATTTTATTGCCTTACTTTTTCATGAAGTCTTCTTTAGCAACCTGTATTTTCAACTCAGAACCTTTCCATCTGGTTTTGTTGTACGTACTTACACCTATATAAACAAAAATGCATTAAATAATAGTCAATTTCTAAACAAAAACTCTTTTTTTTGGATTTTGGATTTTTTAAAGATTTGGATACTTGTGAATTACTTATTCTTCATCATTACATGACAACAAACTGGAACAGTGTTATACGAAATTACATTATTTGAATCTGCCTTTCGACATAATTTTCATTAGCAGTTAATTTGTTTATTTTCTTACAATTTCCAGATAAACAGATATTGTTGTATTACCTTTAATAAAATAAATTCTGATTAAATCAGCTATACAATTTCTTTTGCAATGAAAGAAATACTAACATTTAATTAACTACTTACATTTTTTAAAGTCTCTCTCAATAGTTTCCAGGTCTATATAAGCAAATGTTTTTATAGGATTTCCTGTCAAATAAGAGATAGATAACATTTTGTATTTCATGATACTAATAAAACGAATGCTTTAAATATAATAAGTTGTTGCATAAAAAAACTTGGTCACGTCTTAGTCATTCCTACATCAGTAGAAGAAAGCATATTATATTCAAAATGTACATGTAAATACTGTTTGTTTGCTTGGTTTTTAAGCCAATTTTGACACATTTTAGGATATATTTCTGGGGTTGGTCCACCCAACTGGCTTTCCAGACATCAAACCAGTAATTACACATTTCTCCGGTAGTGACTGACTACTTATGATCATCCCTAGTGATAGAAACAATATTGATGTATCGTGACATTTTTCTTTGATCAACAATCAATACACATTTCAAAAATCAATAATTTTGATTAATTAATTTCATGTCTATAGTATAAATTATGAAAATTCTCTCAAAACAGATACAGAAGCAGGTGTCTATGTCTCACATTATGCTGTTGTTACATAGTGGAAATATTTCATAGCAATGATGACAAATAAATGGTCAGGAAAAAATCATGCAATGGGCATTTATCAAAAAGACACTGAACAGAACATGTATTTTACAGAAATCATTTAAACAGGTATGAAAGTTAACAACAACAAGAGCTGTCACAGGAGACAGCCAAGCTCGACTAATAAAATACTGGACGCAGTAAGGAGGACAAAACTATGAAAGGAAAATCAATTATGTATAATTATGTATTAAGTTATAGTAAAAAAATAACATTTGTTAAAATAAATTCCAAGATCAGAGGAAATAATTCTAGAAATAGTCACGCTAGAGTTATGAACCTTGTCACACAACATGTATGTAATGATAAGAAGTATATATTTGAAGTTTGAAGTAGATACCTTAAAAAGTAACAAAGTTATAATATTTATTAAAGAAAATCCTAAGTTCAAAGACAAATAAATCTGTAAAAATTACTTCAAGAGTTATGAACATTGTCACATAAAATATAATTGATTATAAGGAATAGGTATTTGAAGTTTGAGGTAGATACCTTTAAAACTAAACAAGGGTGCCATAGTCACAAAATACGCCCGTTTACAAAAGCTTTAGATTGAGATGGGGGCATTATGGATAAGTGTTATCTAGCAAGCAAGTTTTTATTCTTGGCACTGTGTTGTTAAATGAACCTTAAAACAAATCAGTAGGGAAGATATGCACAGGATGTGTGACCTTGACCTTGGTCGCAGGGACCTGAATTTTATGCACGGCACTCAGCCTCACAATGATGAACATTTGTGCCAAATTATATTGAAATCCCTCTATGCATGTAGAAGTTTTGCTCCAGACAAGCGTTTTTCTATGAGCTCTAACTGTGACCTTCACCTTTGACCTAGAGACTTGGTTCATGTGCAGGGCACTACGTCTCATGGTGGTGAACAATTCTATAAAGTAACATTAAAATTCCTCCATGCATGTAGAAATATGCTCCGGACAACATCTGGATATTTAATCATCTCCAGTGACCTTGACCTTGCAAATATTAACCTAAATTAAATGTGTCACACCTGTAGTCATGATAGTTACCATTTGTGCTACAATCCATCAATAAATGATGACTAAATGGTCCCTATACACATCTTCAAATTTTTATGTGAACTTTGACCTCTATGTGTAACATAGACTTTGGTCGCAGGGATCTGAATTTTGCGTGCGACACTCAGCCTCACAATGGTGAACATTTGTGCCAAGTTATATTGAAATCCCCCTATAAATGTAGAAGTTTTGCTCCGGACAAGCCTTTTTCAATGAGCTCTAAGTGTGACCTTGACCTTTGACCTGGAGACCTGGATCATGCATGGAGCAATACATATCATGGTGGTGAACATTTCCATAAAGTATTATAAAAATTCTTCCATACATGTAGGAGATATGCTCCAGACAAAATCTGGATATTTCATCATCTTTAGTGACCTTGACCTTGTATATATTGACCTAAATTATATGTATCACAGCCATAGTCTTGATAATGACCATTTGTGTTACAATCCCTCAATAAATGATGACTAAATCGTCCCTATACACATCTTCATATTTTTATCTAAACTTTGACCTCTATGTGTGACCTTGACCTTGGCCGCAAGGACCTGAATCTTGCGCGTGACACTCCGCCTCACAATGGTGAACATTTGTGCCAAGTAATATTGAAATCCCTCTATACATGTGGAAGTTTTGCTCCAGACAAGCATTTTTCAATGAGCTCCAAGTGTGACCTTGACCTTTGACCTAGAGACCTGGTTCATGAGCGCGACACTGCTCCTCATAGTGGTGAACATTTCTATGAAGTTTCATGAAAATCCCTCCATACATGTAGGAGAGCTGAACTGATATTTACTTGAAAATTAAAATATAATTAAATTTCTATGAGAAAGTATTTACATTTTATAAGGTAATTACTGTATGATCTTTATGAACAAATACCAAGTCTACAGAACACCATAGTTATCACAGTTAAGAATCTTGACCAATGAATGAAACATGTGTAAATAAATGTTACATTCTCAGGGTTGTCATTAAGAGGCGGCAGGAGGCCAAAATGCCTGTCTCAAATGCATTATGGGCCGCCTCAAAATTTAGAAAACACTCTTTGTTATGCATGATAAAGACAGAAATGACCGCCTCAAGTTCAAAACAAACCTTCTGCAAAAAATGTTAATGACAACCCTGCATTCTTTAGAACATACTCAAGTCCAAGAAAGAGGATTATTTTATGCCCTTTGATTAAATTCTATTTTTAGAATTGAAAGTGAAAGTAGATCAAGGGGAGTAATTGTGTAAGTCATTTATGAACAAAGTAATAACTTTGTTGTCGCCCTTTGATTAAATTCTATTTACAAAATCTGGATATTTCATCATCTTTAGTGACCTTGACCTTGTATATATTGACCTAAATTATATGTATCACAGCCATAGTCTTGATAATGACCATTTGTGTTACAATCCCTCAATAAATGATGACTAAATGGTCCATATACACATCTTCATATTTTTATCTAAACTTTGACCTCTATGTGTGACCTTGACCTTGGCCGCAAGGACCTGAATCTTGCGCGCGACACTCCGCCTCACAATGGTGAACATTTGTGCCAAGTAATATTGAAATCCCTCTATACATGTGGAAGTTTTGCTCCGGACAAGCATTTTTCAATGAGCTCTAAGTGTGACCTTGACCTTTGACCTAGAGACCTGGTTCATGTACGTGACACTGCTCCTCATAGTGGTGAACATTTCTATGAAGTTTCTATGAAGTTTCATTAAAATCCCTCCATACATGTAGGAGATATGCTCCGGACAAAATTGGACGCCGCCTGCCCGCCCAACCGACCGCCCGCCAGGGGCATTCCCATAATATGTCCCGTTTTTCAAACAGGTGTATAAAAAGTTATAGTAAAAATAACATTTTTCTAGTATAAAAAAAGTTTATGGGGAGATAATTCTTGCAATATTGGTGCTAGAGTTATGAACCTTGTCACATAAGATGTGGACGATGATAAGGTACATTTATTTGAAGTATGAAGTTGATCTTTAGAAATAAATATTAAGTTACAGTAATAAACAAGATTGCATTTGAGAAAAATGCTATGCCACCGCATGGTTCAAATTTCATAGCTCTACATCAAAGGACAAGAAAGTAGGTCACATCATCAAAATCTAGGTCACCTGATATCAAAGTTCAATTTTACAACTAAAACTGTGCATGTGGTCAAAATGTCATTGCTGTACATCAAAGGACAAGAAAGTAGGTCACTGTCCCCTTGGGCCCAAGGGTTTAATTCAAAACAATTTTGATACAGGTCCACCAAATAACATTTCAAGTCAAATATCTAAGCTATAGCTTTCTCCCATTCAGAAAACATTTGTTTTATTTTCTGCTTTTACTATGTGTACATAATGAGAATCACTGACCCCGGGCAGGGCCAATTTTAACACCAGGGGAAAAGTTTGAACAACTTTGGTAGAGGACCTATTAATGATATTATATATCAAACATCAAAACTCTATGCCTTGTACCTTCAGACAAAAATATTTTTTATTTTTTCACTATATGTACATGATGAAAATCAATGACCCCCGAGGCGGAACCAATTTTGACCCCAGGGCTATAATTTGAACAATCTTGCAAGAGGTTCACTACACAATGTTTCATGCAAAATATCTTAACTCTAGCCTTTGTAAATTTAGAGATGATTTTTTAAGTTTTTACTATATACATATAAGGAAAACCTATGGCCACTGGGGGCGGGGCTAATTTTGACACAAGAGGCAAAATTTGAATAACTTTTGTAAAGTACCTTTAGATGATATTATTTAACAAATATTAAAGCTCTAAGCCTTGTACCTTCAGACAATAAGATTTATTTAATTTTTACTATATGTATATATTGAAATCAATGACCCCAAGGGAGGGGCAATTTTGACCCCAGGGCTATAATTTGAACAATCTTGCTAGAGGTTTAATACACAATGTTTCATGCAAAATATCTAACCTCTAGCATTTGTCAATTGCTAGAAGAATTTTTTTTTGAAGTTTTTACTATAAGTTTTTACTATATACATATAAGGAAAACCAATGACCCCCGGGGCGGGGCCGATTTTGACCCCAGGGCTATAATTTGAACAACCTGATTGTTGACTGGATATATGTACATATAGTGAATTGACTGGATAAAATCTACCACGAACATATTGCAAGATCATTGCATTCAAGAAAGAAATGTTTGCCAGTAAAGTATTGCATTAACGTACGATTTTAACAGAAATTAACAAGAATTTATTTTAACAACTTTTCATAGCAATAACTAATATTTTAGAAACTTGTCAGTGGTGGCCAGTGGTGTCGGAAATCAACGATATTAACAGTTCAAACATGTCGCCTTTTCAGTTGGAATTTCATTTTGTTTCGTAGAACTGTTTCACTGCACCGTTTTACTTACGTATTTATGCTTAAGATTTGCGCAAGTTTTAACGTAAGCG